GTGGACACTGATTCTGAAACGGGTAAGGAATTGGATATGCTTGCAATACACGAACCAGCGTCAGCAACTGTGGGCGGGGCAAGCATCGTCAACAAACAAAGCAGACGAACCCCCGTGACTCTCGATACGCGAATGTCGGTTTTAGTTTCAGTTTTCTGCTGGATCATGACGGGCTTTCCGATTCTTGTGCATAGCTCCTTCCACGTGAAAGCTGAGCTTCTATGGTGTTCCTGCCCAAATAGTTTTTACTTTCGAACAAGGATGCTTAAGGTACTACTGAAACCGTGAACAAATACCCCTTCCAACGAAAGTGTGACCAAATACCGTATGACCGTCCCTCTAGGACGTACCGGTGCGGAGTTACAGCAGTTAGAAAATAGGAAACGCCGTTGTCTCACATTTGCAAAGCGTATGATTTAGCATCGCCGGCTCACCGAAAATGTTTTATTTCTCTGTAAATATTTCAGATATTGCAAAAAAAAACATTTGCAGGAGTGTGCACTATTAGTTGTGAAACCACAATCATAGAGATTAGAAAATTATTTTTCCCCCTAAATAATGCAATTTTAAGGTTGCTGATTGCAATTATGTGTATAGTGTAGGATTGCGACTGCAATTTTAAAGGGATACTTCAACGAAATTTGAAATATACCCGTAGTGTTCAGAAATAGGCTGAATATGATCCACAATAACCGTAAATGACAATCGCACGTTTGTATTTTGAGCCTGATGGCTTTATTTTTCGTTATAAACGGACCACTCTGCCAAGCGCTCGGAGAGCAGCCAGCGTAGAGCACGTGACATCCGGCGCAATCGTGACGTAGATTGTCTCGGGACGAGCAAAGCTGCGGCTAAGCTAACGTTGACGGGATGTCCCAGCCGTTCCAGGCACCGAAGCGGCCGAAGCACGCCAGCGATCGGGCTACCGCAAAGCTTCTTTTGTACGTATTTTGAGTGACGAGTTAATAGGGAGTTTTCGTAGACCGCGTCTCCCCCTCCGCTAAGCCCTCCGCTACAAAAGGGAGTTTTCGTACACCGCGTTGCCCCCTCCGCTAAGCGTTCCGCAACGAAGAAGTTGCTACAGCGCCTGCGCGCCGATAGCCTTGACTGTGGAGTTCCCGCTATCGTAGCGGGTTGCGGAGGGCCTTGCGGGACGGCGACAACGATCTACGAAAACTCCCTAATCGGGAGTTTTCGTAGACCGCGTCTCCCCCTCCGCTAAGCCCTCCGCTACAAAGAAGCCGCTACCGCGACTGCGCGCCCATGGCCTTGACTGTAGAGTTCCGCTCTGGGTCTCGTAACGGGTTACGGAGACCGTTGCGGGACGGCGAAAACCATCTACGAAAACTCCCTATTCTTCTGTATCTTGCAGAGGGGCAATGGGAACGTCTGGGGCACATAAAAGAGAGACCCGGTGAGAGGGGAGTTCGTCCTTCCCCTTTTCTCTCATGGTGACCGGAGAGCTGGCGGAATGACGTCAGGAATCGTCACTACCTGTCAAGGTCCCTTGACGGGCATTACAAACGAGGCTTTAGCGACATCCACCAGGTGCCCTTTGCTAATCGTTTAATTCACTTTAAAATTCCTTTTCTTGCCTTTTTCAACAAGAGCGATGTGTTCGATGTGATACTGCTCCCTTAAACATATATATAGACCAAGAAATAAGTGCCGACATTCCGTTGTAGTATCTTTTTAAGGTACTGTATATTAAAAATAAAAGAAATGGTAGATTCGGACTGGTGACAAGCGATGGGTCCACGCCCGGTGTGAAGTCAAAAGAGAGGCGACAGAACGCAGTGGTTAAAATAAAAACAGAAATATAATTAGGCTATAAAAAGACACGCACGGCGACAACACGAAAAGCTACCAATAAAATGTTATAACAAGCGTTCAGCACAAAGCACACCGACAAACCGGACGAACCTTCGGGCAGCGTGGTCAAGACAAAAGAAACACATAACTCAAAAACCAGAATAACGAGAAACACCGCGCCGCTCGCGGCACAAATGCAGCCGGGAACAAACGTTCGCCGGCGTAAATAGAGG